TCCATGTTCCACCCCACGTGAGTCGCTCGTCCCGTCCCGGGCCGCTCCGCCGTCCGGGGGGCTGGCGGGTGCGTTTGCGCGGCGGGAATGGAATGAAATAAAAACCCTGGTGTGGGTTTTAGTGTTGGTGATCCCTTCTGGCAGTGCTTTTCCTGCATCTGGAACCCTCGCGGTGCCCAGCAGCCCCGCTAGGACATCACTCCGGGAGGAGGGTTTTGCTGAGGGCAGGCGGCTTTTAATTTTAACACCACCCCTCCCCCCCCTCGAAAAAAAACCCACAACCAAAAAACCTGCCGTGGAGGGAGTGCTGTGCAAGTGGGCCAACCCCAAAAAGTCCCCAACCAACAACAAACAAACAACAAACGCCCCAAACTTGTGTTCAGCTGTGTACAGCGAAGCCAAAGCAACGGATACGTGTTCAGAGCATGTCCTAGATGTTATTTGTAATGGCATTAAAATAGCTGAAGGAACGCTGCACAAGCTTCCCTGTGAGACCCCTTCCCCTGCCAGCTGTTTTCAGAAGGTTTGCCTTCCTTTTGTACTTCGACAGCTTAGCAAACACAGTGCTGTTCAAGGCGAACAGCAACAGTTAAGCTTATCTGCTTTCCATTTGTCAGATCGAGCCTATGAAATTAATCTGATTGAGCTCTTGGTTTTTGGTTAGTCTGTAGAAAGCAGAGCGATGTGGCATTTGTGAAAAGATGGGGGTGTTTGGCATCTTCTGCAATTTATACAGGTTTTGGTATGTGATTTTATCAGTCTGGCTTTTAAAGCAAACTTCTAGGAGAGAAGTTTGACAGAAGTTTGACGCCGATTTATTTATATTTTTTGGGGGGGTTGTATATAACCTTTCAGTACTGGCAGCACAATGACACCTTGTCATGACTGAAAGGGAATACTCTTCACCTGCCCCCGCCCAGACAAATCAACATACCCGAACCACAGTGATGCAAGTAGGAGGAAGAGCCAGAAATTCGAACGAGTCTGCTGAGAGCCTTCAACGACTTGTTAATGTTGCTTTTACCAGAAAACATCAACGAAGTGTTAATAGCGGTAGACGGCAAAATGCTCAAATATCTGTAGGCTATGTCTGAAGTCTGTTTTTTGAGGAACATATTTTTTTAAAATACACTATTTTGCATGTTTATGCTCCTGCAGGCAAATTAAACTAAAATCTCACTAATTTTCTCTTGTAGCTAACCTGCCTCTAAAAGAAGTTCTAGTGACACTAGTTTTTGCTGCTGACTAACTTCTGTAAGTGCTCTGTTTTCTTGTTTAGCAGCTTTCCTGCATGAGTAGGAAATGGAGCTTTTAAAATTCTGTGCTTGTCAGTAGTGTGAAAGTAGTCCTGGTGTGCTACCTGGTTAAGTTGGAAAAGGGACTTTTCTGCCTATTTTAAACTTGGGATGTTTTGCATGCATTTGTTTCTGTTTTCCTAGACTATCTGTTGTGCAGTTGGTTTTTTTTTCATAATGGCTTTTTGGGACGAGAAGTGGCTGATTCTTTAAAGCATATTATGTGGTATGCTGTAATCATGACCAAACTGGTTTTTGATTTGCAATTTACCAAAGAATATGTATGGCCTTGACTACAGATTTTTAAGTAGAAATGCCTTTATAGTCTGATCAGTTTGTAAGTGGAAACAGATGATAAGGGAAGCAAAGGCTGGGATCCAGGTTGCTTAGTATTGTCATAAACTCATCATGTAGCCATCGGTTTATTTCCACTTTTTAAGGAGCCCTATCATGCAAAGCATGAATTTTAAAGACTTTAAAAGTCTAGGTCTTTCATTTAAGACCTATCAAGGTGCCAAATAGTGGTGTGTTTGGGTTTTTTAATTAATGTGTCTATGTTCTGAGCATCTTCCATCTGCACGTGCCCTTTATGGAACTTGCTGTCTAAAGACTTAAGTGGTTTATTCCGTTCTTTTCCAGTCACAAGCATAACAATGGTCAACCTATGTGGTTTACACTTGGCATCAGGGAAGCTATCAAAGGCTGGGATAAAGGTTTGAAGGACATGTGTGTGGGAGAGAAGCGGAAGTTAACTATTCCACCAGCCCTTGCTTATGGAAAAGAAGGGAAAGGTAAAATACCTGAAGTTCCCATACTTCAGTTATTTATGATCTCCATATATTACTGTTCTTCTTGGTCTAAGAGGTTAGCAAGCTTTCCAAGCAGATTCCATTAAATAAGAAAAATCAATGGGGTCAGGTGCTCTCTCTCATAAATTTGTTTTCTGCAGAAATAACCGTTAAGTAGCTACGTGGTGAATGCAGGAAAAAATAGGAGTTATGGTTCTGTGCTCTGTCTTTTCTATTAGTGCTGTGCTCAACGGTGTTCTGCTTTTGTTTGTTTGTTTGTTTGTTTTGTTTTGTTTTGTTTTACAGCCAGGTTGGAAGTGGTTGCTTCGGTAACTTTTTGCTTTTTGGCTGTTGCATCTGTGTGTGGTAATACTTCATTAATGTGTACGTTGCAAGCCCTGTTCTTGTTTGCGGCGTTCTTTTAGAACTCAGAGAAACTCTCCCTACTGCTGCCCACCCAGTTCCTAGCTGATCGACTGAAAAGTCACTGTTTATTTCTTCATATAGGGCCGCTTAATTCTTTGTCTCGTTTAGCTGTTTTCTGTTTGGGCAGCGATCCCTTTTATCTAAAGAAAGATGCGCAAGCAAAAGGGCATTCATGCTGGCATCTACTGAAAATGTACTGAAAGATGTACAGAGGGATAAAAGCATTGTTTGTAGTGTTCTAACTGCCTACTACTAATGGTGTTTGGGCATCCTCCTTTCAAACATTTCCAAATTCCTGTTTTAATGGGAGGCCCAAATCTGCAATTTGCAGTTTAATAAAAGACAGTTTGAAAGATGCAGGAAGGTTACATTTTCTGCTTTATGGAGTTAGTTAACTTTTTTTGAGCAATTATGAGAGTATTGTCATAACAGCACCACAAATGACCTAAGGTAATTCAAGGTTTCAGAGCAGAAAGGGAAGTTTCTCTGAACACACAATCCTTCCTGCTACTGTCCTCTCCTATTAATCTGAGACTGTTTTGAGAATGAGGAGTGTTTGCATCCCGGTATCTTCTGGCAAGTAGGGCTGAACATAGGCTAAGTAGTACTCCATACTCTCCTTCGTGGAAAATACCCTTTTAAAACATTTTTTTCTAGAAGCTGTGGTTTGGGGTTCAAGAGGCAGTATTAAAAGAGATCGTGGTTCTAGGATAGAACAGGAAGCTTATGATGGTCAGTCGACTGTATGCAGGGCACAGCTGTAAATTTTTCCACAGAAAAATACTAAATGGCAGTGCAAGTCATCACAGGCCTAATTGCCTTGATTGAGATGTAAAGCAGTTTGGTTGTTCTTCAAAGACATGCAGGATTAAACAAATAAACACTGCTAGCTGTGCTAGCTGCTGTAAGAAATTACTTGCTTTAGGAAAACTATGAAGTATTTGAACATAATTACGTTCCTGTTTTTAAATTACACTCTTGAAGACAGAATTGCTGTATATTCTTCATGCTTTCCTCTGAATTCACATAATTTCACTAGCCTCCCACCTGGTGCCTTGCTTGCTGTCTGACTGAATCATGAGTCAGGATGCTTTTTGCTGCAACACTCAGAAAAACTACCTCTGTTCCAAACTCTAAGCAGGTCACTGTGCCCTGTATTTCCAGAAGTTTCTGCACATTTATTCATCCCAGAAATCTAAAATCCTGTTTGTTGCTGCAGCTCAGGATGTATTTAACACCATAGCTCCAAAATAGTAGATGTGAATTATTTTTTCCCTTCTTAAGGCATGGAAATATTTTTTTTGGGATGCTGCTGTCCAGTGTAGGAACACATTTGGTCCTATCCAACCTCTCTGTTTAACAAGCAAAGCAATGTGCTAAAAGGTGTTTTTGACAGTAGCTTCAGCCATCAGTGTGAAGGCATATCACACCATTGTAAAAGCCAATTCCTGATAAACTGAAATCCTGGAGTGGTGGGGGGCAGGGAAGGGTATAGTCTTTGGCACTATTAGGAAATTATCAGTCTGTTCACCTGCATCAAAAATGGAATAACATCAACACGTGTCTTCGAGCAGGTACATATATTTAGTGTCTGCTGTGTGCTTGGAAGTAGCTCAGGGCTTTGTATGGCAGCCCAGAGACAGCTGTGGGATACTGGCAGCATTGCTGCCGTTCTGTCCTTGCAAGAGGAGTTTTTTCCAGTGGCAGAATAGCAGGCACAAGGTGTGAGTTGGCAATAGAGAGGAATTTGGGGACTGGCAGAGTTAGTGTTTCAGGAAGACTGTTCTCTACCTTCTTGCTACCTTGTCCATTGGTCTTGGCTCTGTGTTTTGGCAGTGGCCACCTGGCTGGCTGTACGGTCTCCTTCACTGTTTTCCACTCATGCTCTGTCTGGCTCTGGCTACGAAGAAAAGATTAAAGAATGTTGTCTCATAAACCTGTAATGATGATTGCTGAACATGATCCTACATCAACACTTACTAGTCACTAGCAAAACTAGTTGCATATGTGCTTTAAAGGCTCCTCAGGGTCCAAGCTATGCTCTGGAATAGTTTTAGCAATAGGATGTTTTGAAAGCAGTACAGTTACTGGATTGTTCTGAAGCAGATGGCACTGAATATGTAGTTGTTTTTAACTTTTCTCCATGTTTATCATTTTGGGCAGGAAAAATTCCACCTGAGAGCACACTGATTTTCAACATTGACCTTCTAGAAATTAGGAATGGACCAAGGTCTCATGAGTCATTCCAGGAGATGGATCTTAACGATGACTGGAAACTGTCCAAGCAAGAGGTGAGTGGGTTACCCTTCTTGTGAGCAAACCTAACAGGATGAGATAGGGGAAAGGGAAAGATAAGCTTTGCTTGATCCTTTTAGGAAAGTATCTAAATACAAGTTAGATTTTAGCTACTACTCTGCACACAGCAACTCTGCAAGCAGAATACACACTACTTAAGAGTGCTTAAGGCAATTATGTATTGGGCGATGCACAGTACAGGTAACAAGGAGTAATGGGTTGTTAGTGTAACTACTGAACTGACACGCTCGTTGTGAATAGAAAGACACCCAAAAAGTTACTGCTGGCCAGGTGGTCATTCGTTATGAGGGGGAGGGTTTCTTCCCTGGAGATGACTTACAATATTGTTACTTTCTAATTCTCTGCTTTTTTTGCCTTTGGAGTTTTATGCCTTTTTGTGCTGCCATCTTTCCTGCT